TCCACCGTGACATGAGTCACCAGCTCGTGCATCGTGCTGAAAGTTTTGTTGCAGGACTTTTTGGGGTTTGACAATTGTTCGGGCTCAATCCACTTACAGATGAGTTCCTGTTTGATGGGCTGCCTCATGTAACGAAAGAAGGCCCCTGCCCCGTGGTGGGCTGCCATGTTCATGTTCATGTGGCCGTAGCCGTGCAGCTGGGTCGAGGCATAGTGCTCGGAGCGGGGGCTGGTGACCTGGCCGTACTGGTCGGGTCTGCCGTACATGTCTCCGGAGAAGCCCAGGCGCATCTGCCCGTTCACCACGTTAGGTGAAGCGTGGCTGGTGGCTTGTTCGTGCAGCCCCGGGAAAAGTATATGTCCCGCGGCATCGGTGTGTCCGTGGGGTCCGGCGAAACTGCCGGCAGCGGAGGCGAACAGGCTGTGCTGGGCGCTGGCGGCCGCCGCCTCCCCGAAGCCGCGGTTGCGGAACAGAAAGTCCCGGGTGGAGTTGAAGGCGGCGCTGGAATAGGAGCTGACATGGGTCGGGTGGTGGTGGTGCCCCAGGGCCGCCGCCGCGTAGCCGGGCGCCTGTGAGGTGAAGGCGGTCTGGCCGGCCGAGGCCAGCTCGTGGGTGCTGGGGTTGATTTTGAAGGCGCCCATGCCGTCGGCGAAGGGGTTGATCCCCAGCCCCACTTCTCTGTCCGTGACATCGGCCGTGGAGTGGTGGCGAGAGGATCCGAAGGTAGTGACTCCTATGGCGGGATACTGCGGTCCAGCATCCAGAAGCATCTTCCCAGCGTCGATGCAGCAACCAAAAAAAAAGCACGCGCGCACACACACAACGCGGAGAGAAGCAGCAGCAGCAGCAGCGGCGGCGAAAACACCCTCTTTGGAAAGTCAGCGACGATCACCACCAAAGCAACCACATCAAAAACACCCCCTTCGGCATCAGCGCAGGGGGAAGGAAAAAAAGGGGGGGAGAAGGAAAAAAAAAAAAAAGGCTGGTGCGGAAGGGGGGAAGAAATCTTCGCAGTTGCAAATAAAAATAATAAAAATGTGCCCCAAAAATATTCACCGTCTCTCTGCTTTGACTTTTCGGGGAGGTTTAAGTGGGGAAGGGGGGGTTGGGTAAGCTCAAAAATAAACTGGCTGCAAATAACAATAACGGCGAGAGTTCAACACGGGCAGCAAAAAAAAAAATTTTTTTGAAAAAAAAAACAAAACAAAAAAGAAACTTCCTTCAGTGATTTTTTTGGCTATAGGAATGTTGCAAAGTGGCCGAGAGATTGTTTCTCTCTCCTCTTCGAGCTTCCCCACACTCACCCGATTTTTTTTTTCGGGGGGCCTTTTTTTTTTTTTTTCTCCCTCTGCAAAAAAAAAGGCGCAAATCATGCACAATATTGTCTTTTGCGGTTTATCTTCCTGGGGAGAAACTTTCACCTCCTCAGCCGGGCGGTGAACGCGAGACTGATAGCGGCAATCATTCCTGCAGATAAATGAATTGAAAAGACGACACCGTCCCCCCCCTTGATGAATGGGAGCCGGGGGCGGAGCGACGTGCGGGCGGACGTGGGCAACCATTGGCCCAGGCTGGCTCCCCCTTCCCCGCGTAGCAGCCCCCGGCCCCGCCGGCTCCCGGCGCTGATTGGCCGCGCCGGCTCATCCATCGCAGGTATTGTGGCGCCCTGACACCGCTCTGACAAACGGGGCTGCGGCAGAAACAACTTTTTTTTCTTTCCTTTTTTTTTTTAATATATAAGATTTTTTCTTTTTTTGCCTTTTTTTTGTTTTTTTTTGGTTTTTGGGTTTTTTTGTCCCCCCCGCCCCCCGAAAATATTTCCAGCGCATCTTTTTGTGTGTATGTATGTTAAGGGGACCAAAAAAATTTTTTTCTATTATTATTATTAGGGTTATTTTCTCCCCCTCTCTCCCTCTCTCTGTCCCTCTCTCTCTCTCTCTCTCTCTCTCCAGCACTCTGATAATGAAGGTTATGATGATTTCTTGGTGATCCAGAATTTTTGAGATCACTGAGCAACTTTTTAGGCTTTGGAAAGAGAAGCCCTGTAGGGACTCGTGTCTTTTGAAGGTGTTTTCCTCTTGTTTAAAACTGCAGCTCTCCGAGAGTAGGTGCTGGGTGCACTTAATTTTATTTTTAAACACCAGGCGTGATTTCTCTATGTAGCTGACTCTATCCCTTCATCAGGTTTCTGAAATAAATCTTGTTTTCTGCACCCATCAAAACGCAGGTGGGTGAGAACTCTTAACTTTCTAATTTTGTTGTGATCGTTTCGCCTCCTTTTTCTGTTATTTTCTTTCTCTTTTCTCTTTCACTCTCCTTTTCTCTCACTCTCTCTTTAATGGAGTCTCTTTTATTCAGGTGAAACTGTAAATTTCACAAACCTACATTATTTCTCCTTCTGCTGCATGAAACTGCCGGATACTTCTCTCTTTATTTTTTTTCTTTAAAAAAAATTTAAAGTCTTCGATAGGAGCAATGTAAATTTTCTGACATTCAAACCTTTTCTAGTTCACAAATCAGTCACCCTTGTCACAGTTATTGAAATTCCTCAACTTGCCACACCAGGACGGTGGAAAAAGCAGGCGGTGTCTTTGTTGCTGACCAGGCTTTTGATCGCCAGAGAAAATTTACTTACCTTCAGATGAGTGAGCAGAAAAAGAAATAACACTCCCTTTGATTTAGTTAGAAAAATGCAGACATTTGGATTCAGTGCAAACATACAACACTTGGTTGTTTTCTAGATGCAACCCTCGATTAACCTGTCTTTCCCCAGCTCAAAGTCTATTGAAAAACTGTGGATAGTTCTTTTTTGTTCCCGCTACAAAGAGCCATTGACTATATATTAAAATGATTGTTGAAAGGTATAAGTATGGTATTTAAAAGCAGAAAGCCTTTGTGGCTTAATCAATTAAGCTAAGCAACATTTGTACAATATTTTAAACGATGCTTCGGCACTAAAGAAAAAAAACTCATGAAACTTTAAAATATAGACATCTTTGTGTGAGTATGCATAGATGCACTTATGTATGTGCTCATGTGTGTACATATACAAAACTGGCAAATTATTTATTTACTCAGTTGCCTGCATATTCATTAGCTCTAATTATTTTCTAGTAACGAAAACACCAAAAGCTCGCTAAGAGTCAGACTCCTTACATTTCGCCTTTGTTCAGCCCTTCACTTGCCTCCTTCGCAGCTCAATCCGAGCCCCTCCAATTCCTAGTGCCAAACAAAGAAACTTTAAACTCATCCTCTCCAATTAAAGCCGCTGGTAAGCAATCCGCAGCGCAGGTACTGGGGAGTCGGACCAGCAATGCAGCTGCGCGAACCCTTTTCGGGTGAGAATTGCCTCGTTTCGAGAGGTATAAAATGGCCATAGTGCCTAGAAAACAACAACAAAAAAAAACAAACAAAAAACAGCGACAATAAATAAACTTTGATACGCCTTGAAGGAATGTTTCGCTGCAGTTTATCTGCAGATGCAGTGTGCCTGTGCTCGGTGCATAGAGATAGCTTTCAAAGCAGATATATTATGTAATTTTCATTGGATCTTGGGAGGCTTTACAAGGTTTGGTGGGGGAGTTTTTAGAATAATGCTGAGCTGAATCTACACGTTTGCATTTTTTCTACCAAATCTATTTGATGGAATTGCAATAGCTTATAGCAACAGGTATACCCGCTCTAGAAGCGCCTGGGTGTGCACATGGTCTTAAGGCGGGTGTTGCACTGCTTTCTGTATTTGGTGCTAAAATTAAGTGAAGGATGGAGTTGTCAGCGTTGTTGTGAACTCTTCTGGGCGATGGCATTAGGAGAGCTAGAAAGTTAGGTAGTTCAGTGCTAGCCTGCCTCCCAGTGCAGGGGGAAACCAGTGATCATTCCAGGTCGGTACAAAATACACGAGAAGGCAGACGAGAAGGTATTTTAAGGAAGCGTATCTAAATATACAATGTAAGAGTGAATGTACAAAAAAAAAATGTTGTGGGTTGTAGAAGTTATCAAGTGGGATTTGCGGTGCGCTCTCTGCAGGAAACGAAAGCTGCTCCAGTTCAAAGCCACATGCACCAACGTGACATATAAGCCATTAAAATATCATCCTGACGGCTCATTTCTGCATCATCATACATTCCCTAACTGCTTCCAGAAAGCAAGAAAAGAAGAAATGAAGGATGACCGCCTCGATGGAAGTGCCAAAGAGGTGGTGGGTTCTTAGTGGGGGGGAGTATTGTTTTCTTCTTTCATTCTTTCTTTCTTTTCCCTTCCCCTCCACCCCCACTTTTATTTTTGCCAGTTCAGAAATGAGGGGAAACCTTCAACAGGTCGCAGGGGTAAGTGCCTGGGAGCAGGGGGTGCCTGGGCAGTGCCGGCAGCTGGCTGGCCCCCACCGCCTGCCACAAGGGCTGGACGAGATCTCCCTGTCGTCGGGGGGCCCAGCGGGAGGAGGCTTGGACACCCTGGGGAGGAAGGGCTTGGAACCCTGCGGTGCGAGGGGGCAGCTGCACGGCTGCCCCTCGCCCACGTGGGGCAGGGTCCTGACAGCACCTCTGCGGGCGGGGGCGGGCGGAGGGACAACAGCGCGGGAGCCATCGAGAGGGGGTCCGGCACCCTCCGCCGGACGCTGGGAGACGCGCCTGCCCCTCTAAATGCAAAAGAGAGCGAGAGCTTGGCCTGGCGGCCCGAGCAACGCGGGGTGCGGTGGTCTGCGGAGGGGGGCGGTGGGGTCCGCGGAGAGGGACGGAGGCGCTCCCGGCCCCGCCAGCGGCCGGGCTCGCTTCAGACGGGCAAGTGGCGGGGCCGGACGGCTCTTGCGGTCGCCCAGGCGGGGCCGGGGGCCCAGGGCGGCGGGCAGAGGGCGAGGAGCGCTGACAATGGCGAGTCCCGTGGGGAGGCGTCCCGGGGGACGCGCTCCCCGCCCAGGACCTCGCCCACTGCCGCGCCCGGTGCCACAGGGGCGCGCCGGGGGATCCGGTGCTCCAGCACCGCACGCCCTTCTTTATAGGAGGGTACGGGAGGGACGGAGCCCGGGAGCTCGGCCGGCCCCCTCCGACCCCCACCCGCCCCCCCGCGGGCAGAGCTGGGGGGGCTGCTCAGGGAACTGGGTGCTGCCACCAGCTTCGAGCAGAGCCCATGGAGGGGTTGAGACTCCGGTTCCGGCCCAGAGGGGCCGTCCCGCGTCTGCAGCCGGCTGGGGAAGTGGGGATGCTCCCAAATCCCTGCCCTGGGCGATGCCTCCGAAGGTGACCTCTGACCCAAGCCCAAACCAGTGTGCCAGCCCCTGGCACCGGAACAGTGCAGAACCGACGGGAACCGGGGTGTGCTCCTCGCCGAGACGCCCCGGCCCCACGCCCTGCCACTCTTTTGTCACGCACGGTCCCTCAGCCCGGGGGACCCCGGCCGAGCGGGGAGCACGTTGGCCGGGCTAGGCTCGGGGCTTGCTCCACCCGGAGACGGGGAACTTTATTTCTGCACCGAGCCCTTCCCAGCGAACGCTCCCTCTGCCCTGCGCGGCCGCGGAAAGCACAGGTTGCGTGACAAGCCGGTGGCAGCGGGGCACACGCCATCCCCGCTGCCGCCCACTCGGTCTGGCTCTCACACACCCGCCCGGGGTCGTCGGGATCCCGCGGGTAGCGGCTGCTCCAGCCCTGCTCCGCCGGCGCACCTTCGGCCGGGTGTAGGAATGAGCGTTTAGGTAAGGGCGGGGGGGAGGGAGGAGGGGCGGGTCCCGTCGCAGCCCCAGCCCCAGCGCGACACCCGGGGGGACCTGGTAGCCCGCACTGGTACTCCGCACTAACGCCCCGGAGCTCGGTCCGGTCGAGATCCGACCAGTTCGGGCAATGGGATATCCTCACCCTCCTGCTCCGCCAAAGGCACATTGCAGATGAGAAAAGCGTACGAGGTCGAGCCAGAGTTTTAGCCAATATTTACTCTGAAATCCACAACTGCTTTGCCTTCCTTTTTGTCATCTGGTAACCATTTGAAACCTTAAATGCAGCTTTTTTTTTTTTGTCCAGTTTCAACAAGTTTTGGCTAACGCTTGGGAACTGAGCGCTCCTCCAGCCTCCTATCCTAACCAATAAAGCTCAACTCCTGCAAATCTCTCTCTAGTGGGGCAGTGTTGGCTGCTCTGACTCCAGAAAAGTGCAAGGATGAATGAAACTTGACTAGGAATTTTAATTCCTAAGGGATTCCTAAAGTTATTCTTATTTCGGCAGTAATTTTTGTCACAGCAGCGAAAATATTGAGGACATCAAATTATTTATTTGATAGAGTATGACAGTGATACGATGATGAAGTTTCATAATTAATATCATTAAGTGTTTGTCTTAGTATAGATTTTTGTTTTTCAGCTCTGGAGTTCCCTATAATAATAGTAGCAAGAGTAATAATAATAATAATAGTATTTGAAGTAACTGATTCTAGACTCTAGCACGCTTTTCTGTATTAAAACCAAACAAACCAACCCCTGAGAATTTCAAAGATATCTGTAAAAATTCAGA